TCGAAATGATCGTACGTTACTCTCACATACTGCTACCCAAGCTAAGAAGCATAGGAAACAACATGATGCTACTATTATTAAGAAGCCTAAACATCATTCTCTTTCGGATGCTATGACTAGTAATGGAAATAGTAGTCATCAGAATCTTAGTAGTGACAGCGATAGTAAGGAGACAGAAAGTGTGAGCAGTCCACCTGGAGTGACTAGTCGATCAACTTCATCGAACGAACCGTCTAGTGATTTGACGTCATCGGACTCTGCCGCGAATGCTAAGATGATTGAGGATACACAAGGTTGTGTAGCTGTAAGTGTTCCTACTTCGGTTGACTGTCAGTCAAGTGATGATAAGAAGGAAGCGTCTGATGGTAACAACCAATCTACAGTGTTGCATGATAATGATGCTATTGATGAGCATATGTCTTGTGTCTCTGAAACGGAACATGAAGAACAACAAGTGAGTATATCAGTTTCGAATTGCGATACTAATGCTGTTCTTTCATGTAGTGATATGAGTTATACAAAAATGGAAGAGTTCCACTCTACGGATGCTAGTGCAGACCGAATCGACGCGACTTGTCTGACAGAACGAAACATGATGACGTTGATAATAATCTGGATGTCACTGATGTGACAAATGAGTTACCGACGACGACGAATGCTGATCAAACCTCCTCTGTATCAGGAGATGGAGAGATAAATATTGATCCCATGTTATGCTACTTAAAGTCTTCTGGAGACGATGAAATGTCAAAATTGGAGATCCCACCCTTGCATATTATCTATGGGTCAAGAACTTCTGTTGATAAGTCAGCATCACGGACTTCATTGTATCTGCCGTTCGGAGCAAGTGGTGGTGGATTGACGACTCATCCCCATGATAGGGAATGTAGTTCCGGGATAGGATATGACCAGTTTTACGACGTGTTGTACATGTTCGTGTGGGTTAATTGGGTAAGGTTTATACTACCGTTAGGTCATTCCACGATAGATAGGGGAATCAAGGGCCTGATGGGAAGGTATAGGTACCTAGTTAGCTTGATAGGTCATATCCATGTTGGAGGGCGGGTAGACGTACTGCTGTAAGTCCTGCTCGTTCTTCCGGTGTGGATTAGGGGATGAGAGTGAACCCAAACTTGAAGTGTCAATAAGCGCTTGTCTTTTGCATGGAGGGATTTTGCGCGCCGGTGTAGAATCTTTTTTGAATGTTTTGTGTTTTGGAAAATCCCTCCATGTTTATATATTTGTGTTATGATATGACTGACTCTATCTGTTGACATTTCGGTACTCTATTTAATTCCATTTTGAGATTTTATCATTGTATATTGTTATTATTTCTATATTTTGTACTTATATTGAAGTTTTTGTGTTTGCTTCTGAACTGTATATATGTTGTTTAAATTTGATATTCAATATGGCTACAGCCATATTTGGATTTGATATCGTTGCAGTTAATACTAATATCACTCATTCTTTTGGAACTGGATACCTATCAGGGTAATTGGGACTTGGAAGGTGTATTAAAAGTCAGGTATTTGTTTGTATTTCTATTTTACCATAATATAGACCACTTTCTCCTAGAATTATTGTGTTCTGATATTGGACTAGGAGAGGGGTGCGTTCGACTTACACCTACTGGAAACAAATTGAACTGCTACGGTAGAAAATTCATCTACACCGTTGACCTCCTTCACAACAATAATAGGTGATGCCCAAGTAGGAGAAGAAACCGGCGGAATAAATCCTTGTTGCTGAAGGCGATTCGATTCTTCATGTACTGTTGCAAATGTTGCATAAGCCAAGGGTTTCTTTAAACTGAAAGCAGGCTTAGCCTCAGATTTCAACTGAGGTGTTGCTTTCATGACAGTAAACCGACCTAATCCAGGTTGGAAGATGATTGAAAACTGCGTCATTAGATTCCTCGTATATACTTCGGGGTTATGTGGTTGCGATACCTCGTGGCATATGGCATTTAACGGCACATCAGCCAATTTTAGCAGGTCGAACCAATCTAAGCCAAGTAAATTTAGATTAGCTGGCGTTATATAACCTCCATCAGTCAATGACGAGTTTTCGAAAGCAAACTTACATTCCAATTGTCCTAACAGACGAAGGTAATTACCACATGATTTACGAGGCTTCTGTGTTGTGTGCTCCAGGCTTAGGCTACCCAATTTGGTTCAATTTTTGCGTGAGAGGATGGTGACATCAGATGTGGTATCTATTTGCAATCTACAAAAATGCCCGTTGACATTAAGATTAATGAATTTCCTATCACCTGGTGATGAGCTTTGACAGGAAGATATTAGGCTCAATGAATTGGTACAGGATCTAGGAACAGACGTCTTGGCCTTTCTGGATCAGTTCGGCTTTCTCTTTAGGCAAAAAAGCCATCTTTATGATCAATGACCTTAAACTTCTTGCATCGATGTTGCCTAAATGGGCAGTTTCGTACAAAGTGTCATGATCCGCAGTTCCAGTAAAGGGAAGGGGGATTCGTTTTCGACTTTGGGACTGAGGTGGAGTGGTATGAACTGATTGTGACATGGACACATTTATTGTGGTCAAGTAGCTGCTGTACTAAATGCACTTCAGACCGTCCTAACCCATCACTCTGTACTATAGTTGTGTCTCATTGTAGATTAATGGAACGTTGCAACTCATTAGCATTGTCATTAAGTGTGAGCTTCAGATCTCTAATCGACAACTGAGCTTTTGAGACTAAGGGCTTTAAATTGGTCTTCAGACGAAGACTTCAAAGGAAAGCGTTTGCATTCACGGTTGGCGATGCCCACGTGCGTAATAAAATCGTCTACGTTCATAATTAGCTTCAAACGTCGATAGCGCGTATTAAACAGCTCAGTGTTTGAACTGTCTCAGAAAATGAACGATCTCGTGGGTTCAAAGGCAGGATCAAATTGCAGTACTTGTCCAGCTCACCTGCATCCAACTTTCGAAGTAGCAGCCGAACCTTCCAAGTATCATCTTGACTGGAGAAATCAAATTTAAATAAATCTTCATACCGCCAGAACCACATGTCAAAAGTAACCTTGTCATTGGGATCATAATGAAGTTCAGCTATGTTATTTGCGACGCCATTGGCTGATGGAGCTGTGGTTGCATTGGATGAGCTGGGCTGTGTGGAAGAGTAAATCAGTTTCAGCTGCTGTTCAAGTAATAATTCAAGTTCGGGAGGATACGTGTTTTCAAAATCACCATCGCCAATTGACCAAATAGATGAAAATTCCTGACAATCGTCATATCATTTCTGATAAGACAAATAAAAGTATTAGCACTATTTTTCACCATAGCAGGTTTCAAGTGTTAACTAATCTGTTGGGAAACATGCTGCGATGTTTAATTTGTTCATCGTTCGTTTCTTGAACTAGTGTGATATGCCTATTTTAATTTCCTGTCTTGACTGGAATAAAGAGTTAATATTGCTTGTTTAAAATAGTCACTCACTAACCTACACAGTGTTAGTAAACAAACATATCATCCCTCGTGAGGTAATAATCAGAGGTTTAGTATATAAAACGACAGCAAACGGTCAGACAGTTTGTTCGGGAACTGCTCTAGCAGCTGTTCTTGTTATAAATATAGCATTTTCAACATCGCAACGAGCCGACGAGCGACGTGAATTGTAATCTCGTTACATTTTTAGGTGTAAGTAAAACAGATCTGTCGATAAGGATTAGTAACCTTAATACGTTGGCTTGGTTGATGTCTCACTGCGTACGTGACTTGATGACATTGCTTTTCAACCCAGTCTACTATCATGAGATCCATGAACAAAGTGTCCCCCGTGGCCCCTACGATAACTAAATCAGTGATCAGCGAATAAGTTACAGTTGTCTGCGAGCTTCAGTCTGCAGTAATACAGATATTAAAATGTTTAGTACTGGTTAACAGTTGTGGTTTAGGAATCACCATAGGTCAGCTGGATAGTCATATTTGAAACAATCTCAGAGATTCGAATTTTGGATAATACCAACATATCGTCCATCTATCTGGTCTGGAATACTTTAGGGTGTAAAATATGGCACTACCATTAACATACAGAAGTGTAAAGTCATAAATGATTCTTTCGATTTTCCCGAACGCACTACTGACGGTGGATGTATTCGCCCTCTAGAAAGTGGCTACCAGTCCAAATCACACAGAAGCGACGACTATCAAGCAACTACGCACATTCAGAGGACTTTCTGGTTTGAATTGGTGGTTTACACACAACTTTGTGTATGTCATGAGACTCGTAACATAACAAATACTAGAAGATATAAAAAAATCCTAACTTAAGAAAACACTAGAACGAAAGCGTTTACCAGAATAGCAATGTTTCGTCAAAGCGACTACGCTGGCACACCTCGACACCAAGCCACGCATTGGGATCATGGTCGGCGCACCTGGCTCAGTAACTGGAGTCGTAAAAACAATGAGTAAATAATGCCCGACCACCACCGATAGCACTAAAATTTGACTCGGATATATAGGAACAAGTAACAAAATTTTGGTTTGTGAAGAGTATACGGGTAGGGATTGTCCAATCATGCCGAAATATTATAATGTCTTAAATATATTCTAATGACGTGTGCCAATCGTTTCACAAGATGGCCAGGTAGAAGTTGCCTACAAGCGGTGGACTTCGCGTTCGTCGAACGATGAGTAGCAAATGTACGTTACCCCTCTACTATTACTATAGCCCTTGAACGCCACTTCTCATCCGCCTACTTTCTCAGTCTCATCACACTCCTAGGAATAACGTGGGTAAAGGACAGCCTACCATGGACAAGCCACCGGTCCGGTAGGACGATTGCGACTGAAGCTCTTCCACTTACATTACTCTCAACTCATAATGAGGCAAAAGCCGAAGTTCGGTGTAGTGAAGCTGATATATGAGTCTCATTAGGTAAAATCGAGATAATCGCTACTTAACATCAAAAATTAACCATTAAGGAATTTATTGATTCAAACTCACAAGTTACGTGAGTATTGTCTTGAAGGTCGATTGAGCGGGATATTTAAGTCGAATTCATGGCGCGGGCTTAGCATTTTCTTATGGCTAGCGGTTCACGGGAGTTACTTAGACTATTCGCTGCCACAGTAAACCCACTTTCCTTCATGTATTCTAGTTTCAGATACAAAATGCTACCACCTTAGCTAGTGAGATGCGATTTATTGATCTCAACTCTGCTTTCAAAATGACATGTGAACTTCAGCAGCATGTTGTTAATCTTATTTTCTGCCATAAAAAGCATTTGACAGCTTTAGAGGCCTTTGTACGAATCAAACAAGAAGGTAACATTTTATTCATGAACTGTTTAGTTCATTATTTCTAGACACAATCACTGTAAGTTGTGCAAAAATTTTCATGAAATAATCATAGAATCTAAATGAAGAATTGCAATGTCAACAACAAACTGATAATGAGAGTGATGGTGATGAACAACCAGATCACGGTATGTTTCTTTATGTGCTTGTAAGTAGTTTTCTTAGTTGATTGATACTTTAAAATCATAGTAGGATTATCGTTTTTCGAACACTCATTAGGCTTGTATTCCCTTAGTAGTAGATGACCAACGTAACTGCATCAAAACGCGTAGTGCCAGTATCGTTAATCAGTAACTGAATCAAGCTGTAGGTTCCTCGAGAACACCGCTTGAATTGGTAAAACTAATTCAGCATTGTGTTCATATTTCTGAACAGTACTGAGTCATGTATGCAATCGTCAAGAGTTTACATCATCGTTAACACTATCTTTCGAGAAACATTCATTTTCTAAAAGACAAACATCCCAATCATTACTGCTAAATGTAGCACAAGACGCAGTTACTAGTTTCAGACAGCAAGTCTTGTTTATTTTTAGTGTGATTACAAAAATAATCTTATCCTGTTCACCATTAACAGGCTTTCAAGGGGCTAGTTTATTCCGAATTTACATTTAAATCGGCATGTGTTCATACAGAATAAACTAATCTGACAAGATAAATATCATTAGGTTAAAACCCACTTGATTAGGCCACTTAATGTTTTGACAGTATAATTTCATGTGGTTCGTGTTTTTTATTATCGTGGATTTTTTTTCGATACATTTTCCTGGTAAATGAAGCGCGTTGAGCATATGTTTTTATTATTATGAAAAACCTGGCTAAGCTTAAAGGCAACTTGTAGAGGTGATCTAGTCATCGGCAAGTATTGAAGATCGCATTCAATCCTCTCAGTCAGTCATAAAAGAGAGCTTAATATGTACCCATTAAGTCAAGGTTCTACATCAAATAACTCTGTGAGATGGTATTAATCTAAGACAAACTGAAGAAGTGTACCGTAAGTAACCGAATCAGTAGCAATACCAGTTTAAGTATAAATAATGAGCTTTACGGGGAAACTTTATGACTAGGTTCTACAGGAAGACAAGTAGTGAATGCACCTGCGCTACTACGAAGGATCCAAACTATGTCACCTAAAGTGTAAGCATTGGTCACAATAACCACAACCTGCAGCTATTAACATGACGCAGTCCAATTATCAATTACTTAAAGGATTAGAGCTGTTTTGGTTTGGCTTCCTTCTAACCATTTAACTACACCATACAACACCTTTCAAACTAAATGATGCTTGAGTATGCGTAATACGCCCTATGCACTTCAGTTGACGGAGACTTACCACCTCATCAATCGACATCCCATCCTTAACCTAGTTCCTCATGCCTAACACCGGGATTGCCTACCATAATATACGAGTGGTGCTCCTTATACACCTATGGTCGAATACTAGTACCTTCTATCCACGATGGTCATGTTCCACAGTAAACTTGTCGTCTAGCTTCCCTACGTCACAAGTTGACGAAAGCCAATCATGATTTCTGAATCCATCCCCAAAATTTCGTAAGATAACTGCCCGTCACAACGGACAAGACTTTCAAGATAAGTAAGACAATTAATACATTCAATCATCTTGCTCCTTAGCATTAATTTGGGCTTCCAGAAACAAATAGCAGCGATGATCGCACTTGATTGTACATCATTGAATGACGTAATGTATGGAGAGGTATGTGATACAATAAATGGAACTAGAATTATAGATTATCTAAGTGCATAACAAGTATACGTTACCCAACCATAGTGTGACTTGTTTAGATGGGAACTATGCTTTCAATCCCAATAACGCAGATAGTGTTGATAAATGTATTCATTGAAAACTTCGCTCTTGCATGGCATGCCTAATAGTTTTTTGATGTTAATAGCACTTTAGTCTCGGACAATAATTCAATTCATATTTCTTTTGTACTATGATCATATTGTTTCTAACAGAAAACACTGTACCAGTCAACAATGATGAATTGTCAAACAATCACAGTCAAGATGATCAAGTAACGTGTAACAACACAGAAAGTATAGACAAAGAAGCTACAGATAAAATGTCTGTTGACAGTCCAGTAAACATTGCTGACAATGCCATCACAACAACAAACTCCACTGGAGATACAAACGGAACATCCAATGATAATAAGCATAGACTAGTCTCTATCGAATCATTATATCATGATATGTTGTTGTTGCCTGACAATTGTGCCAATAGTCCGACTAATGAGAATGCATATTGTAACGCTTGTCAATTAAGAAATCAAGTACAAAATGGAATGATCATTAATATGGTCTGCGCTGCATGTCCTGGTTTTCCTCGCATCTGTTCAGCGCAATGCTTTCGTTGGTGGCATAGTGTACACTTATCGGCACCAGTTGGCAATAATACACCAAAGTCTATACAACAACCAGATGTAACTTATAATAATAGTATGATAGAGAAATTTTCAAGAAGTTTAAGTCCTTCCGAATTTCCACAATCACAAAGAATTAAAGAATATCGAGCACATACTAGATCATTGCCATTACTTTCTGCTACAAGTGAATTGATCAAATCAAATGGACGTAAAAAGAAACGAAAAAATTACAAATTCACACGTATCAAACGACATCCACATCAAAGAACATCAGTTTGGATGAAACAATCAATGAGTAACAATAATAATGGTAATAATACTATTGATCCCATCAACACTATACAACGTAAGCCTGGTCGCCCGCGAAAAACACAAGTCTATATTAATTTTAAAGACCCTGAATGGACACCATACAGAAAATATTGATCACTATACACTATAATTATTATCACTGTTATTATTATTCTATACAAAATGTGATTGATTATATTACATTGAGAGATAATGTTTTATGGCAAAAAATTTTTTTCTATTGCAGTCGTATTTTTTCTTTGGTTTTTTTTCTCTGTTTTATGGTTGTTAAAAATCGCACACATGACAAATAAAAAAATACAGTACAGTACAATCGGTTGTTATTATTATTATTATTCTTGAAAGAAATTCTCATTCACAATATAACGAATACATTGCATAAGTTGATTACGTTCTTTACGAATATCTTCAGCTAATAACTAAAATAGAAAAAAATTTATGTGAATATATTAGGAAACGAGTTCTAGGTAGGGATGGCAGATCAATAAAATGAAGTAGTGAAAAACTTCATCAGTTGAGGTGGTTGGGACATGTGTTGGGTATGATTAACCACCGACTGCCTCGACGAGTTATGTCTTGTGGTGTAGGAGTAGATTGGAAGAAAGCTAGGGGTCGCCAAACCAAAACATGGCAGAAATCCATGAAGTCACTGACTAGTGAACTGAGTCATGTTGGTAGATGTAGAGTACATGGTTGGGGTCTGCGAGACGATAGTCACCAATGGTTAGAGACCTTGAACGACATGGCTCAAAATCGTTTGCAATGGCGCAAGTGCATCCATGCTTTGAGCTCTCTCAAATCTTAATCTTCTGGATTCGTCAGCACCTCTACCTTGTTGTCTTTCTAACCTTATCTCACTGAATTATACTTCTTGAATAATATCTTCAAACTCTAGTCTTCTTTGTTACCATTAATACCTCTACTATCTCTATCACTATGGGATTTGATTTGACATTTGCGTCTCTGTGCTAGTGTGGTATGGCAACATGAACTAATGTACATACCTATGAAGTTCTACGTTGCAACTGACTGACTGATCATTGTCAACTAGACTTACCTATGTTAGTAGGTGTAGACAACCTGGTTGGGGTCGGAGACATGAGATAGTGTAGTACCGACGGTTGGAGACCTTGAACAACATGGTTTAAAATCGTTTTCACTGGCGCAGATGCATCCAATCTTTGTGTTCTCTCAAATTCTAATCCTTATCACAATCTTTCTCTTTTGAAATGTTTACTTTACTGGATTATACTTCTTGAATAGCATCTTCAAACCCTAATCTTTCCGATTACTGTTTATACTTTTATTACCTTATGTGTATGAATGTGGTAAGGTAACTTGAACTGATGTACGTAAATACTCATTTCTAGTTAGTAGCAGACTGATTGACTGATTCACAATTTAAAGTTGACTGATACATACAACAACAACAGTACAAAAATAGTTTTGTGTATAGTGTGTAGTGATTGGAATGTATTTTGATACTGACATTGGGAACCAGCGAGTTTAAGTGCGTTTCTCCTAAACGTATTATTAATTAGCACATTACTCCATGAATTGACAAGCTGACTGAGCCATGTTTTTAGGCGTAGGCTAACTGGTTGGGGCCGGAGAGATGATAGTAACCGGTGGTTATAGAGACAGACTTTGTTTGACATGGCTTGAAATCGTTTTCAATGGAGCAGATGTGCCCAGTCTTTATATTCTCTCGAATTCCTCATCACCTTTATCTTCTTTTAAAGTTTATTTCACTGGATTAAACTTCTTGAATATCTTCTACCAATAATCTTTCCGATTATTGCTAATACTTCTACTATATCTAAGCCATTGACAGTCGCATCTATGTGTACGAATGTGTTATGGCAACTTGAACTGATGTACGAGCGTACAAAGTTCTACGATGTTGCTTACTGACTGACTGATTAACAGCACACATACATCGTTTCCTGTCACAGTAAATATACTTACTCTCTTTGAAGGCAATTCTACTAACTGACACTCTTTAATTATGTTAAGATATTCATCCAATATCCTAAGAGAATTATTTGTAACTCTAGTTCTATTGGTCGTCCCAACTATCAACGTCACAAACTTCGATGCTGTTTCTTACTCGACCTAACTGTATAAATACGCATTATCTGTAACGTTTTATGACCCGGATCCCTACTCCGGGATACTGATTCTCTTCTAGACTCGGACCCCGTACTTTCTGGATGCTTGTAGAATACACGATCCACTTCATATCAAGTCTTCTTCTTTTACTCAATATGGGGGTTGGGACAATTAGATTAGAGTAGCCTATTGTGCCGCCGGATCCTCGATCTCGTTTTCCAACTAAGGTAAACTCGTAATCATAACAAGCATATCAAATTGACATGTTGACGTACATTCGTAACAAATTAAAGTTATTTATCCATACTATCAAAATACTATTTATTCCTAATGCTATGAAAAATTAAAAACGAAATATATACAACATTACCATTTGAAGTAAAGTTGGACGACTGTGTATACGATGTATATCACTTAAACATTGACGTCGTTTCATTTGTAATTTCACTAAAGGATGCGATGCGAATGGATCATCATTTTGAGAATTGTCCGCATTTTCATCAATTGTATTTTCTTTCTTTTGTTTACGTCCATGTCTACTACGACGTCGTTTGTTTGAATTTGTCCCATTTGACTAAAAGAATTGTTTTTCACATATGTTATTCATTAGAATTTAGTGTTTAAAAATAGTTTATTGAATAAACTCAGGTATTTAAGGATAGATAGATAGATAGATAGATGAGAGTTGGTTTAGTGAGGCAGATATGAAATCATCATTCTATTGTAGTGAATGAGAACACAGGTGAGGGCGACCGAATTGTATTTAACGACGAAAATTACAGAGTTACTCAGTAAAATAGGGAAAACCATATTGTAAATCGGTAATTTGCAAAATATCAGTTCATCATATCGAACTGGACTGTTCTTGTTGCAAACATCAATCCATTGTCACTGTTCATGCGTTTCATACAAATTCCATTGTGTTCTTCTAACTCTTCCTTTCTTGATCTTCCCCCATCCTCTGTTGCCAGACATTACGTTTACACTCACATCATATACTACTTATAAGTAGCTCGCACCACACTATCCGATATGCTAATGATTTCAGAATGAGGTGGTTGTTACTTTTGTATTATCATATAACGCTTCCACAAATGTAATACCTTTTATTCCCGACCGTAGCTGCTACCTTGACGTGGTGGTCGTCGGGCTTGCCTATCGTGATGACCCAACCGAGCTATATTGGCTGGAACATATGTTCCTGAAGGTTTGTTCTACCATGCCAGGCAGGTCGATAGCAGAATGATGAGACTAAAAGCAGCTACTCCAAGTCTGAGGGTGAAGTCGTACTGCTGACTGTGATGGAGGGGTGTGACAGCAGTAAGGTGTTTCCCTCGGATAACCAGCATCTGCAGAGATGCTGCCTTCTAACAAGGAAGGAAGTGTTAGAAAAGGTCGACTCTAAAAATGTCACACCTCACCTTAACCTCACGGATTTCCGTCTCCAGAGGTAAGGGTGCCTACTAAAGGCTTTTAAGAGCGGAGCTAATATTCAAGAAACCTTTTATAAAAAGGCCATGCATGACCGGTTTCAAGCAGTTGTCCCTTGGGCTCTGCGGTCACACTCCCAGATCGTTAAGACCAACGCTAATCTACCTTCTTTGTCAGGTTCCTCAACAAACACCCTTCCACGGTGTGGGTAGCCGGGATGTAACATCCGCCCTCATACCCATAAAAGCACACAAGACCAAATTGGACATAATCGAATCCTTTCTACCACACCTTTTGTAAGAAGGCATTTTTTGGTATCTTTAAAATT